GTTCTACAAAAGTTAATCCAAACCCAAAAATTTAAATTGTAAAGCCTTGAAAATTAATTTTGTATATGTAATATTTGTGGAATATTTAAAAATTATAGTAATTGTGAAACATTTGGGAAAGGGTTATACTTTAAAAACACAATTTTAAACTATAGTATCTTAGAGAATTCCTCTAAATCTTTCTTGTGGATAATAATTTAATATTAAAAAATCAAGTGGGGGAGGGGGAGGGAGGCAATAATCGGTTTGGCATGGGGGCAATAATTAGTTTTTAAGAAAATTGTATTCTCTATGGCATTAAATGGTGACACTAAAAAATAATTCAGCTACGTTCAATAATTTTGCCAATACCATTTAAAATTTTAAAAATTCTGTCATATTTAGCAGTTCAGCAAAAAAAAAATCCACTAAATTCAGTTTAATATAATTAAATTCAACAGTTCTTCCAACACATAGTAATATGCAAACATATCAATCAGATAATAACGGATGAAAATATTTAAGATATCAAAAAATACATTTCAACAATTCTTTTAAAATTAATCAGATAATAAGAAGAAGATATATGTTATTCGGATCTTTAAAATCACTATCAAACAGTTAAATCGGATTTGAGCGTCTCAAATAACTACGTATGATTTGGATATTTTTTAATTTTTTTTTGAAAAACTTGATTGAATATATATTAAATATAAAATCATACTTTCTTAGTTTATTTAACCATTTTTAACACAAGAGTGTTTAACTAATTGTATTAAAGTTATTTAATTAATTATTTATAAAAAAATCATCCATATTCAGCTATTACCAATTAAATTTTATTCAATTAGATTCCGCAAAAAAAAATCACAAAACATTTAGCCAGATTCTGCAATTCAGGTAGATTCAGCCAAATTTCGCTGTTATCATTTATTAAAAGAGAAACATTGGAAGTCACTTTTTCTTATGTGTTACTCTCACAATTTTTAGCATTTTTCTTTTTCATTTATTTAATTTTTCAATATTCATTACCAAACAAATATAATTTCAAATAACTTATTTTGATTTACTCTAATCACAACTGCCAAATACATAAAAATATTTATAAACTTGCCTAAAATAATTAATCAAATATTTTCATATTAAATCTTACCATTGAAATTAAACAAAAAAAAAATTGTTTTGATAAAAAACTATAATTTTAAAATATTGATTTAGCTTTATGACCTATTAATTAAATTTGAATTTATAAAACTATGTTATTACTCTTATAATTATCATAAACCTATAAGAATCAATTCATACTTACAATCTTCCATTTTGTATATTTGAGTCATAAAATGCATTTTTAAAAATTATGATATTAAATAAAAAAATTTTATTAATAAGTGATAAATATTGACTAAAAAATAAAAAATCGGTTATTTACAGTTTTTTCACGGGTAGAACAAATTTCTATACAAAATACTTGCAAATTTTATATATGAAAAATGGATTTTGGATTTATACTAAGATAGCACCTAAAACGGTTTATTAACAAATAATTAAATCCAAATTTGTATTTTTRAAATTATATTATTGCGTTCTTCCATTTTATATATTTGAGTCATACATTGTATCTTTGAAGAATATGATATTAAGTAAATAAATTTTATTAATAAATGACATTAAAAATTCGTTGTTTTCAATTGTTTCACGGGTGGAAAAAATTTCTATACAAATTTTGTATAATAATTTATCTTCCCAAGACCCTCAAATCTCGACATGCCAGATCTATGCATCTTGAATTGATCATGGTTCGGTCAGTGGATTAGGATGTTGCCTATAAGACCATACGAGACTCCTTATTTTCGGCATGAGAGGATCTAGACAAAACATCTCGG